AAAAAATAAAAGTGCTTTCGTAAACTAGCGCTTGCTCTAAAGTGCGCCGTCGCAGGCTATATTTAGTAAACAAATATTCAAAACTCTCAACACCGCTGGGCGTATTCAATGACATTGCAACCCGTGAAGATTCCGGGGTAGAACAGGTCTTCAGCAACCCATGCTTGCCGTAGAAGGCGACTACGCTTGTCGTAAGAGGCCACTAACGGGATCGGGTGGTCAGGCTCGCTGACTTGGTTGATGCATGTCATCGATCCCATTATAGTTGCTGTGCTGTAAATTGTGCTGATTTGTAAGCTTAGTGAATTTTGTAATACATTTGTTGATTGTGTACCACCTGTTGGTTGTTTGTTTGATCACACAGTGTTCTTTTACGTACATATTTCTAGATTAACAGTTTGTGTCGATCTGGGAATCGGCACGTGACACAGGTCACTCTTAGATATTATCATATAAATAAATAGCCTTGCGTATTTTCAGTATCAGTCAAACTGGAGGGGAGCATTGGTCTGGGAAAGGGACAGACTGTTGACATTGTCTTGTACACACAAGGCGATGACTTTCCAACACCCTATATATATACAAGGGGACACGGGCTGCCCAGTCGTCTAAGTCGCCGTGATTCGCTGTGTAGAGTTGCGTCCCTTGGGCACGCCAGAAACCTATGATTTTGGGTTCGAATCCCGGTTCGCCCCGATTATGTTTCTAGGTTTGTCAGCACCATACCCGTGCTCGTGGGTTTCACCGAAGTGGTAAACGTCGGAGACCTGCATCACTTGGGGCTTTCCTCCCACATTAAGCTGACACGCCGTGATATAACTGGAATACTGTTAAAAGCGGCGTTAAACCCAACTCTCTCTCTCTCTCTCTCTCTCTCTCTCTCTCTCACACACACACACACACACACACACACACACACATATATATATATATATATATACAAGGCGCTAAATGAATGTGTGAAGCCCATTTCTGGTGTCCCCCGCCGTGATATTGCTGGAATATTGCGAAAAGCGTCGTAAAACCGTGCTCACTCACTACAAGGCGCTAAGCAGTCTGTAGTTCTCCCTTTTCCAGACCAATGTTCGCTCCCCGTATAAAATAATATTGAAAATACGCAAGGCTCTTTTTTCATAATAATGTGTAAGAGTGACATGCCAGTAGACTATATATACATGTATATACATGTTGTGGATGACTACGGTGAATACATTCTGAAGATCGTTCCAAAGATTAAAGTGAGTCGGCATCAATGGCACTGGCTTCGAAGCTCCCCCAGCTGAAACAATTTATTTTCCTATATATTTATTTATTTATTTAGGATATAGTGGGAGTGGTAACGCTTAGTCGAGATTCCCCTTTGAAAAAAGGACCCGTGAAGATCCGGGGTAGAATATAGGTCTTCAGCAACCCATGCTTGCCGTAAAAGGCGACTATGCTTGTCGTAAAAGGCGCCTAACGGGATCGGGTGGTCAGGCTCGCTGACTTGGTTGATACATGTCATCGATCCCAAATGCGTGGATAGATGCTCATGATATCAATCACTGGATTGTCTGGTCCAGACTCGATTATTTACAGACCTCCGTCATACAGCTGGAATATTGCTGAGTGCGGCGTTAAACAAAAAACCAACCAACCTTTACGATCAATCACCCCTTTAGTGGCTATTATAGATTATATAGCGGTTCCTAATATTTTTCACACAAAAACGTCGAGTAAAAAGCACGAAATGGTTTTGTGTCGATCATTTACAGACCGCCGTCATATAGCTGTAATATTGCCGAGTGCGGCGTTAAACAACAAATAAACAAACAAATTTGATAGAAAATATTTAAATCCGAGAGTCAACAGATAATATTGCACAACAGAAGTCAGTCAACCAGTTTTAATATATTCGTTATCCTCACCGATGACTTAATTGGTAGCAACGTTTTTCTTTAGAGAAACGAAAAATTAGGGATCAGAACGCAACATATTCGCCTGTGTTCTGAAAAGAAACTTCAGCTATCGTTGGTGATATTCCACGAATCTGTATGAAGAATATATATGTATGTATACGTTCTAGTGTCAAGTCAAACGGATTTGACAAACGTGCATGTATTTAATAGTTTACGGTAGTGTGATACATTACCATGATGACTAAAGAGATCAAATCAAACTACAGATGACCTCAGTCGTCACCTTCCTAACGGTATAGATAAAAAATAACAATGGCTTTAAATGTGTCAAATTGAATGATCTTGAATTAAATATATATTTGCACATTCATAAAACATGTTACAGTCCGAATTTTAAGTCTTAGAGAAAAAAATATTATTTTACCGTTATTTGTTATGACATGTGCCCCAGAATACTGCGTTCGGTTTTCATTAAAAAAAATTCAGACAAAAACGTATGCAACTGGTATGATTTTGACTGGGATTTGTCTTCTATTAGCTGCGCATTTCGTTGTGTCGTGCGGAAGCTTAAGTACAGTCAAGTTGAACTATACGCGCGTGTACAACAGGCGTACCTCTCGATAAATATAGCGCTGAGGCTTGGTCTGGGCAAAGGACAGAATTGACGCGACCGAGCAGACGCCAGATCCATACTCCTCATAGCGACAGTCCATTCGCGGAGCTGTCCATAGTATGATGAAGGTGCCACGCACTGTGACGGAGCTTGACGCCAGATCAAACAAAGGGAGCTAACTCGCCGTGTAAAAATCAAATGTGCTCAGCTCCACAAACAGTTTTACGTCGCTTTATAAGTGCAATGATCTTGGACGCGACGTTAAACCCAATTTCACCTCACCTCACCTCATGATAAACTGGGGCATGGTATCTCAGTGGGATAGCTATATATCGACATCAGTCCGGACTAGTACAAGCAGCCACACACACACACACACACACACACACACACACACACACACACACACGTCGCTTTATAAGTGCAATAATCTTGGACGCGACGTTAAAGCACATTTCACCTCGCCTACGCTACTCAAATGTACATGTCGGTTTAAATTGTAAATACTATGTTTATATCTTCAATAACACATGTTCTTTATACATCAAGCATACGTCATAATTTGTTACAACATAATTGTCAAACTGCACGAAAAATTATAATTATAAAAGTTTTCCCACAACTGATTCACTTAGACGTTTAGTATAAGGTTCACTGTCAGAGTACAAAACAGCAGGATTTAATTCTGTAGCAATTTGTTGAGGGTCAAACTCTATTTCATCTGGATCAACTTGCACAATGCGGTCTTAGCGCTTGTAGTGAGTGAGTGGGTATGGTTTTACGCCGCTTTTAGCATTATTCCAGCAATATCACGGCGGGGGACACCAGAAATGGGCTTCACACATTGTACCCATGTCGGGAATCGAACCCGGGTCTTCGGCGTGACGAGCGAACGCTTTAACCACAAGGCTACCCGGCTACCACTTGTGCGGATAAGTCACTTTAGTTCTTTTATGGGAGCTTCATTTAATTTCTCTACTTTCTTTGGTTTGTCCTGGTTAATCATCCGGGTTTTAGTCAGTGCATGGACAAGCGCGTGGATGGAAACCGAATATGATAGAACTTGTGTAGGGTGTAAAGGGCCCATAAAATTTGTAAGTATTAACAAAATATATAAGGAAGAACATGTAAATCATAACTAGCAATGCTATAACAAATGTAAATGGTGTAAAAGGGTAAATTGCATGTTGAAAAGGTTGAAGTGTGTATCACAGATGTTTCATTTAAAATCCGGAAAATAATGTTGGTAATAACGTGTACTTACTACCTTAGTTACAAGTTGTAATATTTCACATTTGTTTATATTATAGCTTGTACCTGTCAACAATAGGCCTTACAATTAAAGGGCCAGTAAAAGAATTTGAAGGAAAGACATAATACAAAATATCAGTCACAATGTTTCAAGACTGAATCATAAATTTATTCATCAACCTATGCTGAAGTTATAGAATAAACCATTCAAGACAGTGTACTGAATTATGTGTCAATGGCCAAAGTGTATCACCTACAGCGCTACAATAATTTATTATTATAAATCCTTAAGATCGCGATCTTAGGCTTCCGCTACAATCGCCGGCATCAATGCAGTTAACCGGGCACAGCCCGAGCTCTACCATCCACTCAGCTACCGCGCTATAGTGCCACTGCTGTCTCGCTATACCGTTACCGTGCCTCACGCTCCGGTGACTCTCGCTTTGGTGTCTAGCCGGGAGAGCCACATTTCAGAAATGGCTATTGCCGGTAGAGCCACATTTTCAGCTGAGTGCATTTCACCTATTCTAGCGGGTAATTACTTAATCCGATTACCGATACCTTTATATGAGTGTCCCACATTTAAATTATTAAGCGTGGTGTTCTTTAGAGATACCTTTAAATGAGTGTCCCACATTAGTTGGACTTTGAACGTGCAGCTCACAATGCCGTGACTGATGTATTTCCTGGGACATTAGTTAGAGGGTGTTTCTTTCACTTCACCCAATGTTATTCAAGCTTCTTGTCATGCAATTTAAACTATAATGTAATTCAGAGACATTACGCATGCCTGCACACTTAGAATGTTATTCAAGCTTCTTGTTATGCAATTTAAACTATAATGTAATTCAGAGACATTACGCATGCCTGCACACTTTGACGAAAACAACTGCACATATGTGCACATATACAGCCCGGATGTGATGCAGTGAGGCTGCATCGTTCCCACAACTACTTGTGTGCAACGACTTCGGTATGTGCTACCCCCCAGAGATAACATTAACATACACACTTAAACTCACGATAAACTCATAGACACCAACAGGCATTTATCATGAAACATACAACTGCGCAGTTGGTGATCATGAAACGTAAACGATACCCAAAATTGTTTAAGCTGAAAACGCCCAGCCGACAGGTAGCAAACAAAGTAACGATTTAAGCTTATTTCTCAGAAAAAAACACCTGTTTGTGCCAAACAGGACTGATTTACATTGTTAGGTAACGTATATACATACCAGGTTTGAGCCGAGAGCTGCCCCAAGCTGGGCCATGTTGTCGGGTCCCACAGATGCTCTATGCCGAGGTGGTTGGTTGGTTTGTTGTTTAACGCCGCACTCAGCAGTATTCCGGTCTGTAAATAATCGAATCTGGACCAGACAATCCAGGGATTAATATCATGAGCATCGATCCACGCCATTAGGATCGATGACATGCATCAACTAAGTCAGCGAGCCTGACCACCCGATCCCGTTAGTCGCCTCTTACGACAAGCATAGTCGCCTTTTTCGGCAAGCATGGGTTGTTGAAGACCATTTCTACCCCGGATCTTCAGATGTGACATGTCTGGGACTTAGCTTCTTACCGGGCCAGTCCAATGTCCGTATACCTTCTCGTCTGAGATAATCTATGGCGACCTTGGCACGATATGGTCTGGCATTGTCATCTTGCAGTTCAACATATCTGCCGATTTTTCAAACGAATGGAACGACCGGACGTTTCGTCAACACATCGCTGGACTGTCAAATGTCTATTCACAATAACCAAATCACTTCGCCTGTCATGTGTGATACCGCCCCACACCATAACTCAACCACCCTCAAACTGGTCAAGTTAAAGAATTGTGCCCTGGCATAACGCTCGCCACTTCGTCGCCAACAACGTGCTCTGCCATCTGTGAATGTATGTAAACATGTTGTAACGTCATGGGCGCACATCCCGTCCCTGGTGTTGCCAAGCCCACCCCACCCCCAATCTTTGCCGCCTATGGTAAGCTGTTTGGGTCACATCCTTCAAAGGACGCCTTGCATTCAGGCTGGTTGCATAAATCCGTTTTTTAACGATAGCTGTTGAAATTCGTCTTCCTGGTATTGTTTCTGTTATATTATACTCTATTGCACACAGCATCAGATGTGAATCTATTGCGCAGTGCAATTTGTGCAATGAGACGATCTTGTCAGTGTGTCGTTTTTTAGGCCTGTTCATTTAGGCATTGCCTTGGAGGCATTTCAGCGTGTGCTTAGCTCAAGGCAGGCAAACAAATAACCTTCTTGTGGATACCCGCCCACGTAGGAATATACGGTAATGAAAACGCCGATAAAGCAGCTAAACTATCCCTCAAAATCCCAGAAATAAGCTTAAACTTACCCATCTCAAAATCAGAAATTAAAAGTGTAAACAAGCAAAAAAATCACAAAAAAATGGCATAACCTATATCTAAACTCAAATAGCCAAATCATAAAAGTGCTCAGCAAACCACTAACCAAACCAAAAATTCTCCATCCATAAAAAAAATCGACAGAGTAATCACTAAACTCCAAACAGGACACACCAACCTAAATAACCACCTAAAATTATAAAAAAAACACACTACAGGTAACTGCCCACACAAGGTCTGGTGATGGACTATAAGGAAGATGAGGAGGTGAAGAAGCTGGTGAGAAGAGCTGCTGCCCTCCCTCTACTACCTCGTGACAAAGTGGATGATGTGTGGCTTGATGCCATTGCTGACTCTCCTGCTGGCCCTAAAGTGACTGCCTTCATTGACTACGTGACAACCAGTTGGGTTCAAGGAGGATTTTGAACCATTTCGAAAACCAAGGCCACCGTACCAACAATCACCTTGAAGTGTGGCACAACAAGATAAAGAAACTTGCCAAGAAGTGCCACCCGAACATCTAGGAGGTAGTGAAGCTATTTCAGCGAGAGCAGTCACTCAAAGAGGTTGCAGTCCTGAGACTCCCTCACCAGTGGTCAGAACCTTCACGAAGAAAGAAGTACAAGGCAATCGATGCACGTATTGCGTCCCTCAAGATCCAGCTCCTGAACCAACACCTGAGTGAGATGGAATATGCTGACCACGTGGGCGACCTCCTTCATCTGCAGTAATGACATTAAATCCATTATGATATTCATATGCTATTCATATTCATCAATGTAAAGTTTTGATGAATATGTTATCCTTGTTGAATAAAAAATGAGAAAACAAGACTTGTTTTGTTATATACGGTAACCTGTTAATATCACAAAGCATGTTTTGACAGCATAGCCGCGAGAGCCACATTATACAATCACGCAACCATAACCATTGCCGCGAGAGCCACATCAATTTGGGCTATCTATTTTCGAAATGTGGCTTTGCCGGCCTGTAACCCTCGCTTCACGATCCAACACCCGTTTTCGGTCTCAGGGTAGAGTGCACTAATCCCAATCGCCATCGACTTGCACAAAGCGATTGTAAGCTACAATCGAAACTTACAATTGGTCCGGACCAATCTTAAGTCCTTACAATCGTCCAAGATTGCGTCTGCGGTGCTATTTTGCGAAGAATATTACAGTTTTATTAGGAGAGAACGGGTTTATTCTTCCCCGCCCTTAAGGCGGGGAAGTATACGGGAAACGTTAATTTTGTAGCATGTATGTCGACATGTTGGTTTATTCAAAATTTCAAGCCACGCATTTACGGAAACAAAACATACAAATCATGTGCGTAGAATGTTGATGCTATTCTTTTCAAGCAATAAGAGATACTTCAAAATCGTCTTTATGTAGTTAATTGATGCATCTGACCGTTTCTTGTCATTAGCTGACATTATTAAACCATTCATGTGTAATCCGATGTCCTTTTTTCCTCAAGGACTAAATTTCTGATTTTCATGGTGTATGAACAACTGTGCTCCGGAGATCGTAAATAACAGCATAATAAAAATTATGTTCTGAATATGCTTATTCATGAACAACGACGACATCTCAATTTAAATGTAATTTGGCTGAATTCCACATTCTACATACCACACTTTTGATTGTTTGGATGCTCATGTTCCCTGGAAATATTTGGAATAGTTACTATTCCGTATTTTGAATTAACCCAGTCCCCCGTTTTTTTAATCAGTGCACCGCACATAGCCAAATGTGAAACGTTTGGTAGCAAAGTCAAAGCAAAATCGGAGTAGTGTGTCGGCGAATTTGCATCAAGGCTGTAGTATATTTCAACCGTTTAATGGAATTCAATGTACAGCCGTAGCTCTGGTCACTCATATATTTTGTGTCCCATGGCTCAAATCTATTTGCGTCTGTACCGTGTTCCACTGACCTCGATAATCTGTTGGATGAGGCACAGCTCTCTACAGTCACATAGTTAACACCGAAGGCTATGAGGGGTATTTAGGTCATAATCAGCTCCCAGCAGCCACTGCCTCAAGCGATATTGTCTACATAACAGATCAGTTTTATGGCTCCGTCACAGGTGCTCCAAACATTGAAGCAGGGAAAACAAATTTCATAGAATCATTTCAACAAGCAATATTGATATCCCCGTCACTTTTGGTAACTTTTAATGATGTCTCTATTGCAATTTTTACGGATTTTGATTCGTATGCATTATTTGACTCTCATCAGCGGAATGGTTTGGGTCAGATTGATCCGAACGGACAAGCAGTTTTACTTCTGTTTAGTAGTATGGATGAATTGTTATGTTACATCTTAACAGTATATCAGGCGACTATGCTTGTCGTAAGAGGTGACAAACGGGATCGGGTGGTCAGGCTTTGGTTGATGCATGGCATCGATCCCAATTGCGTGGATCGATGCTCATGATATTAGGCACTGGGTTGTCTGGTCCAGACTCGATTATTTACAGAACGCCGCCATATAGCTGGGATATTGCTTAGTGCGGCGTTAAACGACAAACCAATCAATCATCATATGAACTCAAACCAGTCATTGTTACAAGTAAACCACATTCCACAACAGTTACTGACACTGGTTAAAAAAAACGATACATAGAAAGAAAAAAAAGTAACTCAACTCATCATGATCACAATTGCTATTCTTTGAAAGAAAGAAATACAAAAAAGAAACTGACCAAAAAACGTAAAACAAGAGACGAGGAATCTCCGTTATTGATTAGTCCCGGTATTGAAATGTTCTCCAACTACGCGATAATATTTTGAGTATGTGCATCTGTGGTTGTGACAAAAAGACCTTATCTAGTATAACGTTTTTGCCATATGGAGCCCTTAGTATCTTCTTTTACATTATTATAACCAAATGCCAAGTGTAAAAAGAATGTGATCTATTATTTGAGTATGTGCATCTGCCAATGTTGTTGGCAGTTTTGATACTATTTCCACGTGTTAACATTTGTGCCAGAAATTGCTTCCATTTCCTTCGATCTACTTTTTAAATAAAGGCCCAGGTTAGAATTGGTCTTCAGCAACCTATGCTTGCCGTAAGAGGCGACGATTTGGTCGATGCATATCATCATATTCCAATTGCGTAGTTCGATGCTCTTGGTGTCAATCACTGGATTATCTGGTCCAGACTGGATTATTTACAGACCGCCGTCATATGGCTGGAATACTGCTGAGTGCGGCGTTAAACAAGAAACTATTTTTAAATAGACCTACCCTATGCAAATGTATCAACTGTATTGCCCAATACTCAAAATAAATTTTAAAAAATTCCACAACAGCGTTGTGTTATTTGTGGTTAATATAATTATGCTCCATCATGCCTTTCAGTAACATCATAATAAGACGTTTGTGAGGCATCACATATGGCGGGGAACTTTGATGCTCTGCATCAATGTTTTCTTGTAACTGTATGCGCGATACAGAATGCCTCGTTCATCCTTGTTCCAGTTATTGGTTGGTTGGCTGGTTGGTTTGTTGTCAGCAACTCAGCAATATTCCAGCTATATGACGGCGCTCTGTAAATAATCGAGTCAGGACCAGACAATCCAGTGATTAATACCACGAGCATCGATCCACATAAATGGAATCGATGACATGCCTCAACCAAGTCAGCGAGCCTGACCACCCGATCCCGTTAGTCGCCTTTAACGACAAGCAAAGTCGCCTTTTGCAGCAAGCATGGGTTGCTGAAGACCTATTCTACCCCGGATCTTCACGGGTCTGTTCCAGTTATTGGACAAAGCCCGACCATTATTAGAGCACCCCCAAAAACGTTCGTATGCCCTAACGCCAGCGACACAGTTTCTTGTTACACTGCGTTTTCTAAGTAAGGATGGGTTCTTGCTCGAGATGGGTGATTTGCACGGTGTGCACTAAAAAAATAAAGTACTCATGGATATGAAAAAAACCCTGTTTTGCTGGATTTAATAATCGACACAAAGCATTACGTAGATGTAAATA